GAACTGGCCAAGAAATGCCAGATCCAAGTCAACGACTTCAACTACAGAACTCACCTGCACCAGTGGACATGCCTGCCAGACTCCAATGATGTGGTTCAGGCCAGAAAGGCCTACGATCTCCAGAGTGACGTAAGTCCTTTTGCGGGATACTCAGTGAACCATGCTGCTGATTTTGTCACTATTCTTGTGTTCTGATGTTCGAATTCATGTATACTTTTCTAGGCTGTATACAAAGCTGACTTGGATGAGGTTGTTGGTGTTGGATGGATCCCCATTGGATCACTGGACGTGCTGAAGGCCAAGAACGCTGCAAAAATCCTCAGCGACCGTCTCTATAAGCAGAGACCAGACACACTGAAATATAAGACAGACATGACCTCCATGCCTTTAGTCTTAGCCAAAACAAATGCTGATATCATGAACAAGGTAAAGTGTATTATGTTTGTAATTCCATTGATTTGCCTTCTGTTAAGTCCTCTTGTTTGCACTTTCTGTTTCATTCTGTCTTTTGTGTTTCCCACCACAGAGAACCTACGTTGCTGCTTGGGATGCTGAAAAGATTAAGGTCCATGTGCCCCCTGACACCCCTGAGCTGTTGCTTGCCAAAGCTAATGCTTACAACATCAGCCAGGTACTTTTTGTCTGCACAAATGATTAGGACAATAAAATCCAAGTAGATAAAATTGATTTTTTTAGGGTTTTTTTTTTCTTCATGTGCAGATAAAAATATTCTCCTATGTCTCAATTTGTATTTTTGCATTTGAAATGATTCAATGATTATTATCAAATATAAATATGTGATTCTTGAAAAGTTTAAAAAAACAAACAAGAGTGGCATATTGAAGGGAATAGTAGTTTGTCCTCTGTGTACTTGCTAACATATGACTTGCTAAAATTAGCTTGAGAATTCCCAGATTAAATGTAACTATTTATTTTCTCTTTCCTTCAGAAAATATACAAGGAAGCCGTTGAGGATATTTTCAGAAAGGGCTATGACCTCAAGCCCGATGCTGTCTCTGTCGTTGCTGCCAAACATGGAAGAGAAATCATCAGCGATGTAGGTGACATTGTTTTTCCTTCTCTGTTATTGACTTTATTTGCTTAAATTTATTGTGTTAACTTTGATTTCCTTCCTGCTCGCCCCACAGTATAAGTACAAGACGGGATACCGAAAACAGGT